CGAGGTCCGGGGGGGGGGGGGGGGGGGGGGGGGGTTTGCAAGAGCCTGGTGCCCCCAGCTCTGCCCCTCGTCCCATGGCACCCAGGGGACCAAGGAGCGCTCACACTCATCCTCTGCCGCAGGCATCCCGGCTTGCAGCCGTCTCCAGCCAAGTGCTCCTGGGTTTCCATCAAAAACGAATCCTGGGAGGTGGTGGAGAGCGTGGAGGAGAAGGTAAATAACTGTGGGGGGGTGGGGGTGGGAGGGGGAAGGCTCAAGCGTTGCCCCTGCATTTGGGTTTTTAAGCTTGGCTTTCTACAAAAAGCCAAGCAAGCACCAGGCTGTGGCTGATCTTTCCTTCCTGGCTTGCAAAGTGCCCACGCCCACGCTGCCAGGTAGGATTGTAGGGGAAAAAAGACAAAAAAACCCCAAACCCCATAAATCTGAAGGGGGGGTTAAGGGAGAAGGGCTACCCCATGCACGGGCTGCCAGGCTCCTCTACAACCCCTCAAAATGCTGCTCCCTGCCCATCATCTCCAGCCCACTCCCCCACCTCTCTCAAAGTACCCACCGACCTCTCCAGCCCCCCCTCCAAAACTGCAAGCGGGGATGCGCCAAGCTCAGCCCAGACCAGATCCCCACGGGCAGGATCAGGTCTCCAGCCTCCCCACCCTGCCCCGCAATGGGTCCTGAACCTCCATCCCTCCTCTGCCAGGCTTTCTTCAGGGAAATGATCGGGAACAGCCTGGCCAAGCTGGAGAAGTGGGGTCATGGGAACCTCATGAGGTTCCACAAGGCCAAGGGCAAGGTCCTGCACCTGGGTCAGGATCCATCCAGGGAGGAAGGGATGGGGAGCAGACCTGCCCAGAGGGACTGGGGGATGAAAAGCTGCCTATGAGGCGGCCATGGGCGCTGGCAGCCCAGAAGGCCCAACCCTGCACCCCACGCGGCGTGGCCAGCACCCAGGGAGGGCATTCTGCCCCTCTGCTCTGCTCTGGGGAGACCTCCCCTGGAGCCCTGCGTCCAGCTCGGGAGCCCTCAGCACAAGGAGGCCATGGACCTGTTGGAGCGGGGCCAGGGGAGGGCGACCAAAATGCTGTGAGGGCTGGAGCCCCTCTGCTGCGGGGCCGGGCTGGGAGAGTTGGAGTGTTCAGCCTGGAGAAGAGAAGGTTCAGGGCAGAGCTGAGTGCAGCCTTGCAGGGCTTCCAGGGGGCCCATAGGAAAGTGGGGGACAAGCTTTTTAGCAGGGCCGGCTGTGATGGGACAAAGGGTGATGGTTTTAAACCAAACCAGGGCAGGTTTAGACTGGAGATGAGGAAGAAATTCTTGACCACTGAGGGTGGTGAAACCCTGGCAGGGGTTTCCCAGAGCGGGGGTGGAGGCCTTCAACCCCACCCCCCTCCATGATTCTATGACCACTAGGGGTCCCTTCCAATCCAAGCCATTCCATGATTCTATGATTGTATGATCTCCAGAGCCTGGAGAGAGCTGAGCATCAACCTGATGAGAGGGAACGAGTGGATGCGGTGGGATGGATCTCCTGGGTGGAAAAGCCTTGCTCATGAGCGGGTTGCAACAACCACCTCCCCAGGGAAATATTTCCCAGCCCGATGCTCACTGCAGACCTGGCTGCTCCCCAAAAAAATCCCTCTGGAGCCGGCAGCGATGCTCACGGGAGCAAATTAAACCGGAGCAATGCAGGTTTGGTCTCTGCAGCCCGGCTGGTATGGGGGGAGAAGAGGGGGGGGGGGGGAAAAAGGGATTAAACCATTATTCCTGTTTTACCCCCGACGCAAAGCGCAACGGCAGGGAAATTCCAACCCGTTCAGAAGGCAGGAGATGGCCCCGGTGGCAGCGTTTTTCACGCAGGGATGCAGCTTCTGATAGAGCTAAAATTTATTAGACCAAGCAGTACACACATGGGGGGGCTGGGGAGGAGAAACGAGGTTTTTTGGGGGGATCACAGGCTCCCCAAACACTTCTGCTTCCCTGATACAGCTGGAAAACAAGAGGCAAAGTGTGTACCCATGCTCGCAACCCAGCTGACAACTGCTGACCCCATCCAGGTTTTGGGGGAGGAAAGGCCCTAATGAGATCAAAACCGTGACTGGAAACACAGCGTCCAAGCGCATGACGCCAGGCTGATTGCCATCCCCGCGCTCGCTCGGTCTCCAGTGCCGGGTCCCATGAAGGGAGACGCTCGCGCCATGATTCCCACATCCGCAGCGTTCCGTCGTGCTGGATTTGCCAGCAAAAGAGGCCGCTGGGGTTTAATCCAGAGGCAACGGCACAAGGAAACATCAGGAGACTGACTCTGTGCTGGGCAATTCGCTGGGATGCCAAAACACATCCCAGAGCAGCCGTTCGGTCGCTCCGTGCCGAGGTTGGGGGTCTTCTCCCATGGGGGACTCCGAAGCAATTCCGTTCCATTTCTCCACTTCGGCATTTTCGCCCCTCGCCTCCAGCTCCTCCAAACCCACCAAAGAAACCAAAGACACCAAAGAAGCAGCAGGACTGAGCTGCGCAGCGCGGCAGCTGCCGGCAAAGCAAAGAGTTTTCCTTGAATATTCCCAAGCCTCCCCGCAAGTGCAAAAGCTGGAAATTAAGGAACCTTTGGATGTGGCTCCATGTCACTGTCCTGAGGAGTCTCTCCTTTTCCTAAGCTAGAATTAAATTAAAGACACGCCTCCGGGACACTCGCTGCCAGGTCGTGTAG